GGAGACCTAGTGTAGGAGGGAGACTCTCAGGGAAGAAGAAAAGGCACCAACTACGTTCGTGCCAAACCTTCGTTAGCACCTGTGGCTTCTCCATGGAGACCCAGGGCCTGGCCAGTCCCCCGGGGGCCCCTTGCATCCTGTGGCTGAAGGCTGTTTGGTCGCCCTTGCCTGCTGCCAACCAAGTGAAAATCAAAGAAACTTCACTCTGTCAAATCATAGAATTGTGCTTCAAAAACACCTCTGTCAATAGGTTGCAGAAAACCAAGCAACAACCTAACGGGGATAAATGCGAAGACTAACAAATACGGCATTTAGGCTTAATAACAGAGCTTCTGGAAAAGGCTGGGTTTTAGCAGACTGCAGAAAGTAAAAGAGGTGTGGGACTGTGTTAATAGAAGTGTGTCTTGGGGGGAGGGGTAGTGACTCTCCGTATTGACCAGATTATGTCTCATACTGTTTTGAATAATGGGTGTCATATATATGCATATATTTTTAAACCCTCACCCAAGGATATTTTTTCCATTAATTTTTTTTAAAGAGGGGAGGGGGAAGAGAGAAACATCCATGTGAGAGAGACACATCGATTGGCTACTTCCCAAACCTTTGGGATTGAGCCTGTAACTGAGGTACCAGTGCTTGACCGGGAATCAAACCCGAGACCCTTTGGTGTTCAGGCGGACACTCTATAACCATTGAGCAAAACCGGCCAGGGCATATTTTTTATTAATTGATTTTTATAGAAAGAGGAAGGGAGAAAGAGAGAGAGAAACATTGATTTGTTCCACTTATTTATGCATTCATTGGTTGATTCTTTTATGTGCCCTGCCAGGGATCGAACCCACAACCTTGGCATATTGGGATCCTGCTCTAACCGACTGAGCTACCCAGTCAGGGCCATAAGTGTCACATTTTTAAGAGGGACATTTACAGGTTTGAGCAATATTTGACAAAGCAGCAAAGATGAGACCTGTTTGTGCTCCCACACTGCTGGGCACTGTGGGGGGGATATAGAGATGAAAACACAATCCCAGGGGAGTAGGAGCTATGAGATGCATACAGTATACAAGGGAATTCAATGGGGAAAGGGGCATTGACCTTGGCTTTGAAGGCTAGATAAGAGTTTTAGTATTTGGAGGAGGAAGGTCTTCTAATTCTGATGCATAGCCAATTGTGAGACCCAGTCAAAAGAAATCGGAAAAATGTTTGCCTTGGAAGGAGGAACCATTGACCTTGAATATTTAAAAGACTGTCACAGTAGAGAGAATTAAACTTCCATCCCTAAGGCGAAACTAGGATCCCTGAACATGCCCCCCTCACACTCCCTACTCCAGGTGGAGATTTCTGTTCTAATCGGAACTTGCAGACCCAGGCTGGAATGCCGTGACATCAGCCCGCCCTCCCGGGGGAATTCATTGCTCTTCCCCTGGACTCAGCTCCTTCTTTGCACCCTGGTTGTAGCCGGATTACACTTCGCCTTTGTTAGAGCTGGTAGGGGCTGTCTTCCCGCACTGCCAGGAATTCTAGGGAGATTCCTCCAGTCAGGAATCGGCCCTTTCCAACCAGGTTATTTTGGAATGTTACAATATGCTCTGCTCCCAACTCTTTTTCCCATGTCTCTTTACTCATTTAGCAAACCTGTTTAAGGGGACTCTGCTCTGTGCCTTCATTCCTGCCTTTAAAGAGTATACTCTAGTAGGGATGGGCAGATGTTTAGACCAACATGAGATACAGCTGGAGTTCAGATCCTGGTTCTGCCCTTTGATACTTGCATTGTATTTTGAACAAGGATCTGTGAAAGAACAAAAATTCCACCGAGTACATTTTAAAGATCTGATTGGCTTTATTGAACGATTCATGAATTGGACGGCATCCTATCTAGTAAAGACAAGCCCTCTGAGAAGTGGTAAGAAATGGGAAGGGTTTTTTTGTTTGTTGTTTGTTTTTTTAACCTCACCTGAGGATATTTTTTCCATTGCTTTTCAGAGAGAGTGAAAGGGAGAGAGAGGGAGAGAAACATTGATGTGAGAGAGACACATTGGTTGGTTGCCTCCTGCACGCACCCAGACCAGGGCCAGGGATGAGCCTGCAACTGAGGTAAGTGCCCTAGGCTGGAATCAACCCAAGACCCTTCAGTCCTCAGGCCGACGCTCTAACCGCTTAGCTAAACCGGCCAGGGCAAAATGGAAAGTTCTTATAGGCAGGAACTGGGCCAGACAAGAAAGTTATTAGCAAAAGAAAAGGAAGGATGTTTCTGGCTGGCATACTTTTGGGGGGTGGGGTGGCGGCCCAGAGGGCTGGTGGCAGGGGTCTTATCTGGCATATTACCTCACCAGTGTTGATCAGGAAATTCCGGACTGATCGGTTTGAGGTCACACTCCCGATAGAGACTGAAGCTGCTATCACGTCTTGGTTTGTTATCCTGGGGGCACGCAACTCCACCTTGGGCCTGTTTATTTTTCTCAGCATCTCTCAGTTTTCCTAACTCTCAGGGTTGTATGAGGCCAAAATGAGCTATGGTAGGTAAGGCCTTTATCCTGTGTGGCATATTGCTCCGGCTTTGGGAGTTGTGGGTGTCATTTTAGTACAGTGATGGTTAGGATTCCTTTGTATGGGGTAGGGACTGGTGTCCTGAAAAGTGTTGCCTTGGGCAGGACACTCATTTTATCAACAAATATTGGCAGGGTGCCTCCTGAGAGCTACGCACCACTAGTGTGAGTCATGGTAGATACACGGAAGAGACCTAGCTGTCTAAGGAAGTAGATGGTGATTAAATATAATTATTTAATGACTGTTGTAACAAGTGCTTGTAAGAAAAAGTCCATTGTGGGTTGAGAGTGTATAGCTTGTGGGCCTGACCTAGTCTAGGAATTTGAGGTTTCTGGAAGAAAGTGATGTTGGAATGGAATCTTGAAAGATAAGCAGTAGTTAGCAGATGTAAGGGGCAGGGGAGAGCATTCCAGACAGAGGAGTAGCCCCTTCAAAATTTTGTGGTGAACTTGAGAGAACTCAGTGACAGGCAGGGCTGGATGGTGTAGGACCTTGTGGACCCGTGGAGACACACTGTGCAGTTTGTTTTCTTTTTAATCTTAACAGAAATAGGAAAGCACATTAAGTTTCAAAGTAGGAGACCGACAGAATCAGGGTTTTAGAAAGATCACTGGGGCTTCTGACCTGGAGAATGGCTTGGTAGGTTGGACCTCTGTCCACAGTAAAAGACATTCTGCTTCAGGGCCTGGTGTACACTATTTTCCTAGAACAGTCTGTGTCCTTGAAGCAATACGTAGCCTCACTCCCTGCCCTCTGATATTTTTAATTCTACTTTGTTTCGATTTTATAAAAATCCTGGTCTTGACTCACCAATGAGAATTGCAACCAGGGGTTTGAAAAACATGGAATTAGATGTCCCTTTAAGGTCGCTTCCAAATCTGATACTACGTTCTGAAATACTACTCCCCTAGCTAGTACTCTTTCCTGAACAGGGTCTAAAAAAGATTAGTTATGGTTTACCCAACAAACAACACGGGGCAAGGACAGGGTATTATAGATCCAGGATGGTCACAGTGGTAGCAAAGTCTGGAGGGGTGTTTCTGGTACAAGCAGCTGAGAATGACTGAGGTGCCGTTAAGGATGGATTGTCCGTCCTTAGGGTGAGAACCTGCCCCTTAGTTTCTCTCTAAAGTGGAATTATGATAGTTGGAGGATTTTAAGCGCAGCGAATGAAAGCATTCGACTTAATCCTGCGGACAGTGGAGTCGTTATTGGGGGACCTGATCTGATTTGTGTTAATGATGATAATTCCTGCCTCTTTAGAATGGACCGGGAGAAGGGTGTGAGGGAGGAACAAGCTCCTAGAGCAGGGCTGCGAAAATCCCTGGGTCTGGCCCTGCCAAGGCAACCGCAGGGCAGACTTGAAATTCAACAAATCTAGGAGCTTTTTTCATAGCTAATTTTTAAGTTGACAATTTTGTATGGCCCAAGAATGATGTTATAAATATCCAAATGGCCCTTGGCAGGAAAAAGGTTCCCCACCCCTGTTCTAGAGCTTGGAAAAATGATAGGATCAGGCAGTTCACAGAAGAAATATAANTCCTAGAGCTTGGAAAAATGATAGGATCAGGCAGTTCACAGAAGAAATATAAATTTAACTGTTAAACAAAAGGCAAGATTCTCCAACTATATAGTGGTCAGGGAAATGCAAATTTAAACAAGATACCAGTTTTTGTTTATCAGCGTCAACATAGGAAACATTCAACCTATAGAGAATTTTTGTGAGTTTATTTAAACAAAACTGTCAGCAGTTACTAGGAAGCAAAATCTCAATAGATTGAGCCAATGCTCCGGAGAATGGCAGTTTTGCACTTTATTTTATTATACATGACAATCTTCAGAGGAGACACAAGTGGGTTGCATGAAATCCATTTGTGATAGATGAGGAAGGCGGGAGGAAGCAAAGCAGGGAAACCTCTGGGACCAGATGAAAAGTAAAATGATAGATACATACATATTTTACATAGGTGGGTACAAGATAGTTAAAAGTCAGCAATTAACAGAGTAACAACAACGGTGAGAGAATTTATGGACTCCTTCCCAGTGCGTTGGTTGTGCCTTGAGGGATCTGGAAAAAGGGGAATTGCTCTGACATTCCAAAGGTGTGTTCTATAGACGCAAAAGACAATGGACAGGCTTAATCAAGGTAAAGATTGACTTGTCTGGGAAGATTCTAACCTAGGACGTGATTACCTGCCATAAACTGCTTTTCGTTAAAAGTTTTCATTTCAGACCATCCTTTGTGGTTACTTTAGGTCTCTGCAAGGCCACCGTGCAGGCCTTTCCTGCCCTTGTCAGGTTAGCATGTGGCCCCTTTTCGTCCACATCAGATTGTGAAAAATTTAAAGGATTGAAGATTTCTGTTAGGGTCTGGGAAACGGATATTCTCAAATTCTTGTTTGTGACAATGTCAGTTTGTACAACTTGTTTAGAGGACAATTTGGCAGAACTTCAAGTTGTAAAAGTTCATCCTCTTTGACCCAGAAATTCTACTTCAAGGGATTTGTTTCATAAAACTTACCAACTAGTATGAGGGTGTTTATTGATTTGAGAGAGAGGAAGGGAGAGAGGGAGAGAGATAGAAACGTCAATGATGAGAGAGTCATCATTGATCGGCTGCCTCCTGCACACCCCCAACTGGGGGAGTCTGCACCCCAGGCATGTGCCCCGACCGGGAATTGAACCCCGATCTCCTGGATCCTAGGTCGATGCTCAACCGCTGAACCACGCCCGGCTGGGCAGAAATGGATTCTTGAGTTAAATAATACCTATATTTCCAATGTTAGGTGATATTGCCAGATTGCTTTCTCAAAGGTTGTAATACTTCACCTTTCTACCAGCTGTGTATGAGAGTTCACTTTTCCATATATACTAATAGCAATACATGTGATTACTGTTTTCCATTTTTGTGAGTCTAATGGGAATAAAATGGCATCTCATTTTTTGTTTTAATTTGCATCTCTACTTTTGAAGCACCTTTCATACTTCTGTGATCATCTGGATTTGTTCTTTAGGTTGAATATTCAGCTTTTCTATTGAATTGTTTATCTTTTTCCCCTAGCAATCTAGGTGACTAGATATATAATACAAGAATTGGGGCTTTTTTTCCAACCGGTATGTACTAAGTGTAATTTTTTTTTAAAAATATTTTTTTATGTTTGTCGCCTTAGACCAGGCAGGGATAGGTGAATTTGGGTAGTAGGCTCAGACATGGGGAATAATTTGAGAAATACGGTGGTAGCACCCACAGTAGAGGTGGTAAAACTTGCAAAGTTGAGTTCCTCCTGCCCCTGTGCCCACACAGAAATCTCCGGAAATAGATGATTTTACATTAAATTTTGTATTTGAGGTTGTCTCAAAAGCCAGATCTGGCCATCTTGGGCCTACCTTCCCTGCAGGGAACATCTTTCTGGAGATGAGAGATGTTCCTTCTTTCTTCTTACGCTAATGACTGGACAATGGGGCTGTACTGGTGCCTGGGGGCTGAGGGTATCAGAAATACCCGTGGAGCCTACCTTCTGTCTGCATTTGAGTTTGTGCCCTAACCATGGAATTTAATGACTCACTGATGAAAGCTTCCGGTGAAACTCTCTGAAGACCTCCTGATTTTGGTCCCTTTATGACTCAGCAACTGTCGGGCTGCTACCTGATTTTAAGACTGCTTCCTGATGTTCCTCCCTCTCTCGGAGGGAGGCGAGGTTCCTTCTTTGTTTTCTTTTCCTCCCTGGGTTGTCCTGGCCTCCACCCTTCTCAGACTACTCACACCACCTGGGGAGATCCTGAACACTTCTCTGATTTTAACTGCTACCTGAGGACTCCCTACTGTTAGGCTCTACTTTGACTTTGGCCTGAGTTCTCAGCTTCCAACTCATGGAGCCACCTACCACTGGAATCTCAAACTGAGCATGTCCAAATCCAAATGTCATGGTTAGTCCCTCCAACTTCCCCCTTCTCCCGTCCTTACCTGCTATCTCAGGAATAGCCCCCAAAACCAAGCCATTGATTTGGGTACTGTCCTAGATTCCTTCTTCTTCCCGTCTCCATTACCCCTCCTGACAATCACCAAATCCTGCTCATTTTACATTTCTCCAGATTACCAGATCTGGCCCCTTTCCTCTCCTTTGCCACTGCCTTGTTCCAGGCCCTTGTCATCTTTCAGTTGGACTGTTGCAATGGCCTTCTTCTAACTGGTCTCCTGCCTACAGTCTTGTCTCCAGCAAATCTACCCTCCAATCCTGATGCCAGAGTGATCTGAAATGCAGATCTGGTCTTGCCACTCCCCTGCTTAACACCCACCAACCCAGTGGTTCTGTAACCACAGTGTAGCCTCTGACACGGGCTAAAAGTAAGTTGTTGCTGCTCCTGTTCCTACCACTACTATTAGTACTATCACTACTAATACGCACACTAATAACAGCAGCTAACATTTACTGAGCACTTTTTCTGTTGTGTTTTCAAATGATTCCGTATCTTTTTCAAACAAATCAGAGCCGATTCAGTTTTCTGCATAGTGGCATTCTCATTTATTTGGGGTGAAGGAAAGGGGCAGAGCTACAGGCAGGGGGCACCAGGGAAATGTCTGTAACTGTAAATTCTCTCACTATCCGCTAGTGAGTGACCATTGCTGATTTAGCCTTAATAGTTGAGTAGTGATTACCCTGGTTCTTATGAACTAGGATTTGCTTTCATTCCCTAGAATGTGTTGAGGGGGGAGGGTGATCAGCTGTCCAGATCTTGAGTATGCCCATGAAGTATGTCACAGGTGGGGATGCCCTCTGGCTCCTGGATGCCAGTAAAGGAGAGGCACCGCTGGCCTTCAGGGGTCAAGTTCAGGTTGATGGCCTGGCATGACCTAGTCCCTGCCTACCTCTGCTGCCTCCTGCCACCCCCTTCCTTGCACTTTTCACCCTGACCGTGTGTGATACTAATCATAGTGCACCTTACTGAGGTCTCCTTATGTGCCAAGCACTGGGTTAAGGGGCTTTGCTGTGTCCGTCTCAGGTAATCCTCACAGCCCTGCCAGGTAAGTCTGTCGTCGTTCCCATTGTATAGAGGAGGAAAGCTAGTCTCAGGCTCAGGGGAAGTAACCTGAAGTGACCCAGCTAGAGGCCAGCGATCCCCTAGCCCCTCGGCGCTGGTTCTTGCCTACCCACTTTGCACACTTTGCACCCACTCACTCTTGCACCTGACGCTGGCTCCCGGGGAAACCTTTGTGGACACCCATCCCTGCCCCCAGGCTGGGTTCAGTGCTGCCCTGGAAGCTCCCCTCACTGCTCCCCATGCTGTGGATGTGTTCAGTCCATGCCCCTTGAGACAGGTGTGGGGCGCTTGCTGCTTTGAACCCCCAGCATATAGTGTCTGGCACATAGCAGGTCTCTGTAAGCGTTTGTTGCGTTGACTAAACCGAATTTCAGGCACAGAACATTGGAGTCTTGCCCTTCTGACCAGTTTTCCCTGTCTTCACCTTCTCTAGGCACAAAGCCAGCTATTTGATCTCTGGACAAGGACCCTTTCCCTTCCTGCTTGGGTTCCACCTGCACGCTTTGACTTCGGGTGGACAAGTGCTGTCTGATCAGCCACCTTGCCCACACCCACCGGACACCTGTTCTCTCTCTCTGATCCCTCTGACTCCCCATCAGGCTGGACCGCAGATCCGCCCTCTGAATCAACTCATTCCCTTCCCCTTAGCCCTAGTTCTTCCCACTGGGCTGTCTGTATCTTTTTCTCTCCCCAATAGTCCCCCCACCCCCAAAAAATCTTTATTTCTTTCTCCCTCTTAGCCCTCTAAATTAACAGCCACGATGGGGCCTGCCTCTTCCGAAATGCTCATCCGCACCTGCTGTTTAAAACAATCAGGTTTTGTCTTGGGATGCCCTATGGCCTTTCCTTAAAGCATCAAAAACTTCGGCAATCCCCAGCCTGAGGCCCTGGCCCTGGCCCGGGTCCTGTCCTGCAGCAGGGCCGGTGTGGCCCTCACAGAGCGACCCTCCGACACCCTCCCCGCATGCGGCCTTCGTCCCACTGCCCCTGGCCTCCCTCACTTCCCAGTCTCCTCTGCTTCCGGCAGCTTTGGGAAACGCGCCCCTGGCTTCTCCTCCATGCTGTATGGAATGAAGATTGCCAACCTGGCCTATGTCACCAAGACTCGGGTCAGGTTCTTCAAACTTGACCGCTGGACCGACGTGTCCGATATCAACACACACCACAAGTCGCTGTTCGCCAAGATCTTTCATGACAGGTGTGTGTGTGTGTGTAAGGGGGGCCAGGACGTGGGGGACACTGTCTGGCTGAGAAAGTGTGGGTTGCCTCCCATTGAAGTAAGCCCCCCTCCTTGAAGGAGCAGGGGAAGGGTAGGTACTGAGCTAATTGGTCTGGGCAGGGGGTGGGTTGCCCGGCTCATCCTAAAACTTGCCTGAGGGCAACATCCAACCAGACCCCTCCCACCCCAGCCCCTCCTTGCCTGCCACTCTCCCCAGGGCTGAGTATCTTCAAGGGAAACACGGGGTGGACGTGGAAGTCCAGGGGCCCCATGAAACCCAGGATGGGCAGCTCCTTATCCGCCTGGACTTGAACCGCAAGGAGATGCTGACCCTGAAGCTTCAGAATGGAGGAACGCAGCCTGTCACCCTCACCCACGTCCTTCCACTCTCCTGGACCCCTCAGTTTCAGTTCTACAATGGAGACCAAAAACTGCCCTGCTCACTGGGCCCCGGTGAGTGGGTTTCCAAAGGAATGAGCCTCTGGTGGACAGGGGCTTGCCCGAGAGAGGGATGGGGCTCTGGGGGAGTTTCCAGGGCAAGGGTGCTGGTTGGTGGGGGACCCCTCTCCCACCACACTCCCGCTCACTCAGCCCCCCTTCCGCAGGTGAGTGCTATGAGCTCCACGTCCACTGTCAGACCAACTTTGTGGGCTACTTCCCAGCCACAGTGCTCTGGGAGCTGCTGGGACCCGAGAAGCCGGGTTCAGAAGGAGCTGGCACTTTCTACATTGCTCGCTTCTTGGCTGCCGTCGCCCACAGTCCCCTGGCCGCACAACTGAGGCCCACGACGCCCTACAAGCGGACTCGGATCACTGGAAACCCTCTCGTGACTGCCCGGATAGAGGAAGGAGAGAGACCTGACCGGTAATTTCTCCCTCCAACCCAGTCCAGGCTGGGGCTCCCCCGACATGACAGTGTGGGCCCCCTTTCCTAACTGAGTTCTTAACTCCTCCAGGCCTCACAGACCTTTTCTGTCCAGGGAGAAAGTTGCAAATCTGAGGACAGTGTGAAAAAAATTTTAAGTCTTTTACACTATGCTGGATTATCAGGCAGCCCCATGGAGACATCTCGGTCTTTTTTTAACAGCTTTATTGAGACCATTCATGGACCATACAGTTCACCCATTTAAAATGTACAGTTCAGTGGTTTTTTCAGTATATTCACTCACATGTGCATCCATTGCTACAATCTATTTTAGAACTTTCCCTTACCCCAAAAAGGAACCTGTCCCCTTTGGCTGTCATCCCTTTTGCTCCCCATTCCCTTCTAGCCCTGAGGGACCACTCATCTGCTTCCTGTCTCCATAAATTTCCCTTTTCTGAACATTTCATGTGAATGGAACAATAGAATCTGTGTAGACATCTCTTTTTGACATGGCTAGATTTCACAAAATACTGAGCTATAAAAGCAAACTAGAGACCATTGTGCTCTTTTTTGTTAAAAATATGTGTGTATAGTACAAATTAACAGAGAGAGAAGTCTGGGCGGCTACATACCAAAAAGTTAATGTTGGTTATGCCTGGATGGTGAGAATGTTGCTTGCTTCCTGTTTTATTACCTATTTTCTGATTTTTCTCTAATGAATATGCATTGTTATATACATATATATGTATTACATATGTATTTTTCAATGTTTCCAAGTATTGTGCCTTTTCAAGAATTGAGAATGAATGGTCCACCCTTGGGGATGAGCAGCCTCACCAGGTAGTGAGTTCTACTTCCTTGGGCAAAGGCTGCTGACCCCTTTCGGCAATACTGTTGTGTAGGATTCCTGCATCCCCCAGGGCAGGGTGCTCCCCAAGTCTCTGAAGTGTGGGTGTCTGTGTTTGTGACAGCTTTTCTTCCCCCACTCCCGCAGCGCTAAGGGCTATGACCTGGAGCTAAGTTTGGCGCTGGGGACATATCACCCACCCACCCGCCTTCGGCAGCTACTCCCGGTCCTACTTCAGGGAACAAGTATCTTCACTGCCCCAAAGGAGGTTGCGGAAATCAAGTAAGTGCCGGCCCTCTGCACCCCTCATGCTTTCCGTGTCTGTTCCCCGCTGGCTTCTTCCCACACCCCGTGCCTCCTGTGCTGCATTCATTCATTATCTTATTCCGTGCACACTGTGTGCACGGCACTGGCCAGGTGAATCAGTCACTGGGGGCCTCGCCCATGTTAGTGGAGGGAAATGAGCATTTATCTTAAAATTTCTTTAAAAGGCCATTTATCTTATCATTTCATGGAGTGATGAATGCTGTAAAGAACTGAACTAAAGCTAAACTAAACTAGAGCAGGGTAAGGGGACGGGTTGTGCTGTTTTGCAGAGGATACGTAGTCCCAGTCTCTTGGAGAGGGTGACATTTGAGCAGAGAGTGACACATGAATGAGGTGTGAGGGTGGAGATCATAGGAGGAACCTGGGAGGAGTGTGTTCCAGGCCCTAGGATCCAATGCCCACTCGGGTTTGCGGGGGGCGGGGGGAGGCAGGGGCATCGCAGGGAGTGAGAGCCAGGGTTCCCTTTTTCGAGGTCCTTCCAGCCTCCTCTGATTCCTGATGCTTTCATTGCCCCAGAGCTGCAGATGGGAGAGGGTGGATGCTCCTGGGCATGGGGGTTGCCTGACCCGTCTTCTTCCTGCCCTCCCCCCCATCCCCCCACACCGTCACTGCTAGGGCCCAGCTAGAGACAGCCCTGAAGTGCAGAAACTACGAGATGAAATTCCGGCTACTGCTGCACCTGGAAGAGCTGCAGATGGAGCATGACATCCGGCACTATGACCTGGAGTCGGTGCCTATGACCTTGGACACTGTCTCCCAGAACCCCAGGCTGCTCACACTGGAGGTCAGGGCTTGGATCGGGGGTGGAGATGTGGGCTCAACTCACAAACTGTGGGCAGAACGCTGCTCCTGACCACAGGGCAAGACAAGAGAAAGGGTGAAGTTGTTCCTGCCCTAGGGGCTCAGGAAGGGGCAGCGTGGGCATCCTGTGCCCAAAAAGAGTGTCAGAGCAGGACAGTGGATAGCACTTGGGTTTTTGTCCAGACATTGCTGCCACCAGCTGTGTGGCTTTGGGCAAGTCCTTTGATCTCTCTAGGCCTTCGTTCCCTTATCTGAAAAACACAGAGCTGGACTAGATAATTCTTAGAACTCTTCCCAGCTCTCAGAAGCCCAGAACTACATGAAAATGGATTCCTGCACACAAATGCAGGGACCTGGTGAAAAGCGAGGGTTAAGGGGGATCAGTGAGATTCCTGTAGGAACTGAGTTTTAAACAAGATTTTAAAGGCAGAGTAGGGACTGAGCCGGCCCGGCCGAGAGGGCAACTGGACAGGCTGGAAAGCTGGCTCCCAAGTCCTGAGATCATGCACTGGAGGGTTTCCAGGATCCCAGTGCTTAGATTTCTGAGCAGCTTGGACAGGCGGACTTGTCTCTTCCCTCATCCTCTGACTCTTGTGCTTTTTGGTTGGAGAGGAAAGAGGCAAAGCTCCCCCAGCCCTGGGGTAGAAGGGAGCCCTCCGGTGAGCCTCCCTGAGATAGAATCTTGCTGTGTTCACACCCCACAGGTTCCTGGGGTGGCTGAGAGCCGCCCCTCAGTGCTCCGGGGAGACCACCTGTTTGCCCTTTTGTCTTCCGACGCTCTCCAGAATGACCCCATCACCTACAAGGGCTTCGTGCACAGGGTGGAGCTGGACCGTGTCAAGCTGAGCTTCTCCCCGAGGTGGGTGTTGGGGGAATCCTGAGCTGGGAAAGGGTCTACAGACATCTTTCTGAGGCAGGGGAGAAGGGGTGCTTCTCCCTGAGATGAGTGGGACCCCAGGAATGGGATGGGAGGCTTTTTAAGGGGGATCCTGAGAGGCCTCAGCATCTTCCTTTCCTGAAGGGGCTGCATGGTGGTCTTGGAAAGTGGGAGTGGAGTCGGGTTAGACGGAGAGTCCTGGCCTTGTATTGCCCACCCTTCTAACTGGCACTCTTCCCCATCTCTCTCCCTTCCCAAAGCCTCCTGAGCCGCTTTGTGGATGGGCTGACCTTCAAGGTGAGCTTCACCTTCAACCGCCAGCCCCTGCGGGTGCAGCATCGTGCCTTGGAGCTGACCGGGCGCCATGTGCTGTGGCCCCTGCTCTTTCCTGAGGCCTCCCGTGGGGTCCCGCTGCTGCCCTCAGATGTGAAGTTCAAGTGAGATTATGGGCATGGGCTCTGGGCTACTTGGAGTGTGGGCCTGGAGAATGGAGTCTGGGAGGCCTCTGGGACACTGGATAACTTTGTGTTCCTGGCCCCTCTGCCAGGCTGTATGACCGGAGTCTGGAGTCAAACCCAGAGCAGCTACAGGCCATGAAGCATATTGTTATGGGCACCACCCGTCCAGCCCCCTACATCATCTTTGGGCCTCCAGGCACTGGCAAGACCGTCACCTTAGTGGAAGCCATCAAGCAGGTAGGGCCTGAGCAAAGACCTGGGGCCTACACTAGGACTTCCGCAGCCCCAAGCAGTTGTCCCCAGATTCTGGTTCCTTCCACGGATCAGTGTGGCTATTGAGCATAGTGGTGTAGGTTGTGTACTGCACAACTCGGAGTTACCATTCATGTGTCAGTCACCACAGACTTGTATAGTTACTGCACGTTTTTCAGCGTTAAAGTGCTATTTGGACTAGCAGGGGGCCTGGGGATCAGAACTTGCCTTTTCTGTCACTACTCCCCTCAGCTTTGAGAGACACATGTCACACTATGCCAGGCTGCATCATGGTCACTACTGAGTCTTACCCCTTCCTCCCCCACCCCCCACCTGGAAGCTGC